AGAGGACATATCTGAAAATTTGTACAGATCATAAGAAATTGCCTTTTTGCATTCTCCAAATACTTTATTTAGAAATAAGGGTATGGTTTCTGATGAGGTTAAGTAGATGAATGAAATCTAATAATTGCTTTTGTTTTAAAACCATAGTATCAATTGCTTTTGTTTTAAAACCTTCGTATCAGAGCCAATACAGAATTTTAAACACTTTACGGAAGTTAAGAATCTGAGTTAAGAAAAATGCATCTACTGTTAACATTATAGAAATATATGTCATTTTCCATATATTATAAAGATACACATCAACAATGGATATAGTAGACTAAATATGTGCACAAACAGAAGAGAAATAAAACTTCAATTTAAAAAGGAGATGAATATAAGCAATACTAACCCATGAACCAAATTTGGTTTTAACTATTTCTTTCATAGTATCCACTTACGTAAATGATTATGGAAAAGGAAATCCGAAAATTTGGTCCCTAGGTTGAGGAATAAAGAAAATTATAAGAAGATATATTACCCATAGAGAAAAAAAAATACAGTTTCCCATTATAGTAGGGTTAGAGGTTACATCATAAAATACTTTACTTGAGTTTTTTGTGGTTTGCCTCAGATGATTAGTTCAGAGAAATAGATGAGCCAGTACTGAGTTAGCTGCTGTTATGTGAAGAAGAATACTGGAGAAAACAGGCTTTTGTTTTATTCTACAGGTACTAGATATACTTTTCCAAAGGATATTTGGAGAATGAGGACTCAGATATAAAGAGTAATATTAAGATTGAGATTGTCCTCTCTACGAAGTGATTTTATAAATCCCATGGACTTTTTTCCCCATTACCATGTATTTTTAAAAACTTACTTGAACTTTAACGATAATGGCAATTGGTAAGTTTTATCCATTCTAAGATATGAGAATTAGCATATTCAGTCAATGTCATATGTATATATATGTATGTGTGTATATGTATATATGTGTGTGTGTGTGCATGCATGTATGGGTATATATCTCACACAAAGGACAAATATAACTTGCTCACTGATATATTTCCTGTGTCCAAAACAGCCCCTGGCTCACAGTAAATGTTCAATAAATATTTACTGAATGAATAAATAATGAATTGTATATCTGAACTATTTTATAATGTCTGTTATTCTTCCTTTTCACTTAATGTTTTATAGAAACATATTAAATATTACACTTTTGGTAGATAACATAAGAAAAGTTCTATATCTGGTACATGAGTTGATGTTAGAGTGGCCTATTTATACCCATTATTTTTTTCTTATAATTTTCATAACTCAACATTTAATATGTTAAATATGTTTTAAATAATTTGACATATGTTATCAACATTTATATGTACATCTTTAATAAAATTTCTGCTTCAGATGCTATTTTTTAATATACAGGCCTGTTCTTATGAAATAGTGTATTTTCTCTATTTTTCTAAATTTCAAGTCTCTTATGAGTGATGAATTTGTTTTATTTTGAATAGACTGTTTACCTATATTTTATTAAGTGTTATAGAATAGGATAAAGTACCCATCCTTCTTTACATATAAATTAATTCTATTACAAGAACTAGGCTCCAATGTATTAAAAATAAAATGAATGTATGTGAATAATTTAGAGCATTAAGGTTTGACAGCAGTGTTTGGGAAGGGAAGTTTCACACTGATTTTAACTCAGGATTACTCTTCATTAGAAGTCTGAACCTGAGCAGGAATTGGATGTCGATTTGGTATCCCTTGTGAAAGGGTAAAGATAAAATACATAGTAAAGATACACAAAATGATACAGTTTTGTTTGAGGGTGGTTTTAACTTTATAAATATCAATGACATGTTTAACTTTATCAATATGGTTTATAAAGTGGTTTTAACTTTATAAATATCAATGACATGTTTAACTTTATAAATATCAATGACATATCAAAAACATGTTAAGAACATAATTATTATATGTTTAGAAATTTATTAAGTGTTGCCATACCCCTCAAAAGAATGTGCATTGTATAGGTATGTAATCTTTTAGTCATGTTTTCTTAATGAACTAATAGCTAAAAGAGAATTCTCATTTTTATGTGTCTCTTTAGTGTGCATTTTCCCTTAAACTTTTAGTTGATTTCCATTACTGTAGATATCTCACTTAGCTTTAAAATGTTTGAATATACTTGCTAACATATGCTTGCATTGTATTGTATCTATTGTAGTTCTTAAGTAGATTTCTAGCAATTAATTTGAAATGGAAAAAACAGCCATGCTACCGATTTTTTTTTCCTTTCTGAGAACATTTGGAATGCTTTTAAAGATAAAACCAATCATCTTTTGGTGACTAAGAGAACTTAGGTTCCTTCATCCTTTATCATTGAATAGCTACATTTTCCATACATTTTCCAATGTATCTTTACATTATACTGCTAATTCCTGATGAACAACCATTTTGTACCTGCAAGTTATTAACCAAAGCCATGAATTCACCTTGTTAAGTATGCCTGTCATTTTAACAATCTATATTCCTATTCATGATAAATTTTCATAATTAGACACTTTTTGTCTAAAATCAATCTTGGGCTTACATGGATACATAGGGGATAGGGCAACAGTGGAAGATTTTACAGCTCAAAACTGCGTAGTATCTGGCTAATTACTCTATTCAGATAGGCCTAATCCATTTCTTATTTGTATGTGAAGAGCGAGCTCCCATCTTTCTGCCACTTAAATCACCTTGAAAAAACAAAAAAGTGACCTTAAATTTTCAAGAGAGTAAATCTGGAGTACAGAGTCAGATCAGAGAAATCCTCAAACAAAACTGGGCTCCCCTCTCTCATGGTGTTATCATTTGGTGACCGACTAGAACTTGGGTTCCTTCATCCTTTGGTATCACATTACGGCATTTTCCAGGTCATCACTTTATATTGCTAATTCCTGATTAACAACCATTTGTTCTTCTAACAGCAAGCTAAAGGTAGCCTTGGTGTTCCCTCTTTGAGTATTACCCTAACCCAGGCTTTTGACCTTCAGTGTGTGATGCACTTTCATTTGTCACTGGGGCCAATGTGGTGTGTAAACGGGCTGCGGATCTGGTGGCACTTCCACTGCGTGAACTTTGGGTAGAGTCCAGGATGTGAATTTAATGGGTGGAGAAGCTGCGGCAGCACTGTGAAGTTAGCGCGGCCAACTGCAGGAAGCCATGCTTCACTGCACCCTTCATGGAAGCTGGCATACTTGCCCTACCCCTTGTTACCCACGGGCCAGCTCTTGAGGAAAAGGCCCGCAGGTAGGTTCTCAAAGCAGAGAGGTGCCCCGGGGAAGTCAGTCCCCTCTGGCTACTCCGATTAAAAAAACAAAAAAACAAAAAAAAACCCTCCCTCCGGGTCTTCGGCATCCTCCTCCCCTCCCTCTGAGGCCCCTTCCAGACGTGCACGCTCAGCCCGCGCGACCGGCGCGGCGCTGCAGACGGCGGCCCCAACGTCCCCGCCCCCGCGTGCGCGCCCCCGCGTCCTCTCGTTGGCTCGTTCCGGCCTCAGCGCGCCGCCGGCTCCACT